GGAGGGTCACCTTGCCCCAGAGGTTAAAACAGCCAATGCAGGGACAAGCTGTACCCCCATTTCTGTAACCTGCTGTAAATGGCATATTAAAAGCCCCCTTTGTTACCAGGGCTCAGCCTTTGGACAGGAGTCCGCTGAGTCACTGCCAGCCTGCTTAATAAACTTGCTTCCTGAGAGCTTTGTCCCTCTCAGTATCTGAGTCCTCCTGCAACAGTTTCATCTTCTCTTTTGGCAGGGCCAGTGTGACAAGTGCTTACAGGCATCATAATCTGCAGTCATTACCTAGGATAGCTCTGTTGTTTTTATGTTGAAGTTTCCTAAATTTTATTATACATAGAAATTGCCACAGGCTTGTTTAAAGTATATATTTCCCAGGACTCCATCCCTGGGAGATTCTGGGATTCATCTGGAATGAGATCCAGAAATCTGAATTTTAACAGGCAGTGGTCCTCAGGGCACACTTAAGGAAGCACTGTTAGAGGTCAGATGAGTTGATGGCAAAGTTATGATAACTGAGGTGTGTTACTGCACTTCTACCTCTGAATGGAGGGGAGAAGAAGGTTCCCAATGAATGCACCAAATATTCTCAGAAAGAACTTTTCATCTGCTTATGTGTTTGTGCAAATACTAAGACTCCAAGGCACATGAAACAAAATATTTTGCCTTAAAATGTCAGACTCTTAGTCATTAATAGTTATCATAAAAAATACTATACACTGTGTATCTTAAAACAGAAATTTATTTTCTCATGGTTCTAGAGGCTGAAAGTGTGAGGTCAGGGTGCCAGCAGGGTCACATTCGGATGAGGGCTCTCTGCTTGGTTTGCTGATAGCTGCTTTCTCCATGTGTCCTCATATAAGGGAATGGGGAAGAACTAGCTCTGTCTTTTCTTGTAGGGACACTAATCCCATCACAGGAGCCCTCCCTCATGAACTCATTAAAGCCTAATAATCTCCCAAATGCCCCATCTCCAAATACTGTCACATTAGGGGTTAGGGCTTCACCATAAGAACTTTGGAGGGACACAATTCAGTCCGTAGCAGTCAGATATTACTAGTCAACCATATTAGCCCTGATGAAAGAGAATTACCACGGCCCTTATAGAACATGTGGTCTATTTATTTATTTTTTTGGTAGTAGTGGGGCTTGAACTCAGGGCCTTGTGCTTGCTAGGCAGATGAATTCTACCAGACCTTAGAACATACGACTTTAAGTCAGTGGTACTCCAATGGTTTTATCAGAAAAAAGACCCTACAGAATGTACTCTTGTAGTGCTGCATGAAATGGACCCATTACATAAAGTTCTGAAAGGAGGAAATTTTCTGAAAAAAAATTTGAATATTGGCATTACTAGAGTTCAGCATCTTCTCCTACTCATCCTCATTCCTTCCTTATTTCTCATGCAACAAGTGATGCATTGCCAAGACCAGCTGATATTGGAGCCATGTTTATGCATCATGAGTGATTTGAATGTTGCCTCAGACCATTTGCCTCAGTCCAGATTAATGAAGTTTATTTACTACAATAAGGAAAGTTAAAAGGAAAAAATACACTTCCTATTGTGGACTTACCATGAAGATAAGTAGCATTAAGTCAGCTCTTGTATAGCAGTATAAATTTGTTCTGAATGAGAAATTTGATTTCACACTTAACTCAGTGTTAGAATCTTTTTAAGACAGAAAATGACTCATGTGATTTATGTTAGGTAGTAACTGAAATCAGATATTTCAGTTCAAATGCACAATGTGGAAGCAGAGACTCTGAAAGAATAAATATTTTTTAAAAACTTTAAAATACTAAGAAATTTAACGTACAACATAGGACTCTAGGTAATAAAATTATACTGTGTATGGGATTCATGCTGAATGAGTGGATTTTAGCTGCTCTCATCAAAAGAAAAATGGGTAACTATGTGAGATGATGGATGTGTTAATTTGCTTCACTATAATAACCTTTATGCTACCTATACAAATCCCATATTACCATGTTGTATACCTTGAGGATATAAAATAAAATTTTATCTAAAAAATCAAAAGTATTAAGAAATAGCAAGAAAAAGTTCACATAACTACCACTCTCTAGTATTCTCAAATTCTCTCTTGGGAGAAATGGTGGATTTTTTTTTATAAGTGGTAACTACCATGAAATAAAAAAGCTCTTTCATTAAGATGTGACACTTTAATAAGCTTTTATTTTCCTGAAGACAACCCATTTGAGTACAGACTGGAATTTCATAGCTAGATACACCCTACCTATATATTCTGTGTTATTGATATAGTCCATTAACCACAGATAATGTTAATATATTATCAGTAGAAGCAAAAAGTTAATATTTTATACACATGAAAATTCTAGCCACTTGAAGTGTGCCAGCTTATAGTTCAGTAGTAAAAACAATAATAATAATAATAATAATAATAACACAATGAGCTGGGAGCCAGTGGCTCACGCCTGTAGTCCTAGCTACTCAGGAGGCAGAAATCAGGAAGACTGCAGTTCAAAGCCAGCCAGGACAATTCGTTCAAGAGACCTCATCGCAAAAAAAAAAAAACCCATCACAAAAAAGGGCTGGTGGGATGGCTTAAAGTACAGGCCCTGAGTTCAAACCCCAGTAGTGCAAAAATAAATAAATAAGCAAACAAATAACACAATGACGTGAGTAGAATATTAATAGTAATAAAACATACTTATAATAATATTTATAAAACTTCTTTAAAACCCTTGTCATAGATTTTGAGATTCTCTTCTATACTCTTCAATGAATGTTATTTCTCAAGTATCATCATTATACCTGCACACACTCACCCAGCCTTGAACACTTCCTTTTCCCCCCAACACACCACTTACCACATACCCCACTCTACACACTGCCCTCCATACCACACATCTGGGTTCCACTAATAACAGCCACACATATGGCATTTATTTGACCACAGAAAGATTATATTCTAATGGTTGCCAAAAGTACTTACATTTTAATTTGTTATCAACTATGAGATAAAAACATATAAATATTTAGAAGCAATTTTATTTTAAATACTAATTTTCTAATGATGGATAAAGCTATTCAAAATGTGCAGAAGGGTGTAAGAAGAATCTGGTCAAAGCTCCCCTTCCTTTGTGGCTTCTCAGTCCAGATCCCCAAAGCCTCGTAAGGTCAATTGAAAACTCAAATTGCTTTTGTGGCAAGCACTCTGCCAGTGATCTATATTCCCTGCCCTTTTGCTTTGCTTTCTAAGGTTGCTAACTACATGTAGGTGCATGTATGTTTATATTTATATGTATCAATGAACATGGTGTCAGTTGATCACCTGACACCATTGCACAGTTAGGATGGGCTACCACTCACAGACTCTACTGCCCTTGAATAAATAAACAAGCCTCTGTGCAAACTTCAGTTTCCTCCTATCTAAGACCCAGGTTTGCCTGGCCACATTAGCTTTCCTCTGTATCTGAGAAACCCTCTGCTGGTAGCCTTTGTGCTCCTCTCTTGGTTGGGGAGGGAGCAGGGAGCAGGGCTGAGGCCTGAGTGGGAACTGACAATCCACCCTCATTCCTCCTGCCTGCCCTCATTGAGTTGTATGCCTCCAGGCCCCCAGGAAGCCAGTGTCCTCTTTGGTGAATTTTCAACCCTGATGCTTTGAATATGATTTTCTCAATAGTAGGAAGTATTTTTGATATATATATATATATATATATATATATATATATATATATATGATACAGAAATAAAGCATTTTCTTTTCTACCATTCACTTTTAACTTTGCTTTGTTTGCTTCAAAAGTCAGTAATGTGAAAAAAGCTTTATCAGGTAACATTTGGTGCAACTGAAACCAGAAGAAACAATCACAGATTCTTTTTAAAGGAAGTTATTTTGAACATCTTAATCAATAAGAATCTTGGAACTGGATAAAGGTAAAGGTGCAGAGCTGCACAATATTTGTATAGTATTTCAATAGCCACTGAAATATTATCACTCATTGTGATATTACAGATAACCACAGATAACCACAAGGTTAAAATTATATTGATTATTTTGCATCATTTTTCAGAGACTCAGAATTTCTTTTAAAAAAACTTTCTAAAAATAGTCATAATCTTATGAGGAAAATCTAGAGAGCATGATAAATTTACATTTTTCCTTATAGGGTAAGGAAGCACAAGGAAATGAAATTATTGCCCAACATCATAAAGATTAAGATGTGAACTCAAATCATTGCCCACATCAGTTAAGAACTTGACTTACAATACGGTTAAATCTCAACTGATGTGGTTGGTGTTAGGATTTTAGTGCACATTGTTCTGGATATACAATTAACAGACACACAAAAAAAACACACTAATGCTTTTAAAACCATATTCTTTTCCTTCAAACGTTAAATATATAGTATTGGTAATTAAACGATTCATATTATAAAAACAGTGATTTTTGAATCAAGTAAATTGATGCTTGAATTTTATATTTGCTAAGTCATGTCTGAGTCGTTTGAAAAAGTAATTCTGTTAAAATTTTTTGGAACTCAGCGCATTCAAGCTTGATAACTTGGGCTAAATATACTGCTTCTCTCTCTCTCTCTCTCTCTCTCTCTCTCTCGTTAAAAATGTCCAATGACTTGAGGAGGGGGTTCTGTCCTAATTCTTGAAAAACATTAGCTTCTAGCCTGTTGCCTTGGTGCCCACTACCCATTTGCGTCTACTTCCACAATTTTTAAGAGCAGGAGTCACATTATTACCGCAAGGTACCCTCCTTACCAGGGTCGCAACGGAGGGATAGGTGTGTGGTATCATTTTAGTATTACTCCCTCTGAATGCCATTTTCTAGAGAACAGGAGCTGTTGTTTGGAAAGCCAAAGCTATTCTTCCGTGTCCAGCAGCCCAATGGTGAATCTGGGGTCAGTCTGATCCACCTGCAGGGGCTCTTCAGTGGGTGCTGTGATAGGCAGAAGAAAGCCACATGCCCTCCAGTTGAGTTGTTTTCTTATCTCTACTGATCAGCTCCATGGAAGGAAGCCCGTCCCTGAGGCGCATGACGGTGATGCGGGAGAAGGGCCGGCGACAGGCCGCCCGAGGTCCGGCCTTCATGTTCAATGACCGGGGCATGAGCCTCACAGCAGAGGAGGAGCGCTTCCTGGACGCTGCCGAGTACGGCAACATCCCCGTGGTGCGCAAGATGCTGGAGGAGTCCAAGAAGCTCAACGTCAACTGCGTGGACTACATGGGCCAGAACGCGCTGCAGCTGGCCGTGGGCAATGAGCACCTGGAGGTGACCGAGCTCCTGCTCAAAAAGGAGAACCTGGCGCGCATCGGCGACGCCCTGCTGCTGGCCATCAGTAAGGGCTAAGTGCGCATCGTGGAGGCCATCCTCAACCACCCGGGCTTCGCGGCCAGCAAGCGCCTAACCCTGAGCCCCTGTGAGCAGGACCTGCAGGACGACGACTTCTACGGCTACGACGAGGACGGTACGCGCTTCTCGCCCTGCATCACCCCAATCATCCTGGCTGCGCACTGCCAGAAGTACGAGGTGGTACACATGCTGCTGCTGAAGGGCGCCAGGATCGAGCGCCCGCACGACTATTTCTGCAAATGCGGGGACTGCACGGAGAAACAGAGACACGACTCCTTCAGCCACTCCCGCTCCAGGATCAACGCCTACAAGGGGCTAGCCAGCCCTGCTTACCTGTCCTTGTCCAGCGAGGACCAGGTGCTCAACGCCCTGGAGCTCAGCAACGAACTGGCCAAACTGGCCAACATAGAGAAGGAGTTCAAGGTAAGCGTTGCGCTCCATCAGGCGGCTCTGCTCTGAGCACTCACCCACTTCCCCGGTGTTTGGCCCCTTCCCTAGTTTGCTCTGGAATCAGTTTTGCCCAGTGGATTTTAAATCACCTTCAGAGCCGCTGTGATGATATCACACACAGAAGTTGGCCCGTTACTGCCCCAAGGAGAGCTGCGATAAATTCACTTTGGCCATGTGTATATCCTGGTTCAGAAAGCTACACTTGTGGTGCCACTCTGTGTCTGGGTAAGTAGTAAAGAAAATCATGTCAAAAGGAGGGATTTGGGGTGACCTCCTTTCCAAATTATTCCTCCTGGTTTGTAGTTATTTTTTTGGCAGTGCCCAACACAGAAGTGGTAATAGTTTTGTTTGTTGTATTCTCCTAAATGTGTGCATTGTCCCTAGAGGTGCTGCAATACCAGGTCCACTCCCTATTCCATCTCTGCAATAGTGTTAGTCTTGGAAAGCCTCTTCGTGGGCCCAAGCATCTGTATATCCCTTTTGAATCAAGAGCCAAAAGACCAACATACAATGCTATTAAAATCAATTCATGAATGTGGCAAATGTCTCTCCTCGAATTCTCCAACTGTATTGTATATTCAGAGTGGTGAGCCATAGATGTCAGGTTAACCCAGAAAGATATGGATTTTTTTTAAATGAGTGAACTATTTCTTCTGCTTTAATGGGTTTTTATAATGAGTAAAATTTTTTTCTAGACATCTTTCTTTTCCAGTCAATTTTATTTAATTAAAGTAAGTCATATATTTATGATAGGACCATTTTTATTTCTTACTCAATTGCTACATCCTTCTGGGCATTTGAATGTCTCTAGTTATTAAATCTAGAGCAAAAGAACACTTTGGAGTTCTGGTAAAAACCCATCAGCTCTTCTCAGAAGGTTCCCACCTCCCATTTTCCACCTAAGAAGACAATTGCAGACACCAAATCCTGGAATTATTTTCTGGTTGCTGAGTTAATCTTTTTAGTTTAATATTGTAGTGTCAGATCCCAGAAAGAGTAGCTATTCTGCCTTTCACATCTGAATATAGTTTTTCATATTTAAATGAGCTTTATTAAAATGCAAGAAGTAATATAAGTCAGGTGAAGGAAAATCTACTTAACTCCGGGGTTGCAATAAAATGGTAGGAAAGTGGTCTTCTCTCCCCTTTCCATCCACACCAACTTCCCTACATATTCATCAACACTCATTATGTCCTGGTGGAGAGCTGGCCTTAATGTAATAATCTTGTTAATCCATTAAAACATTTTCTGATGCAAAAGCTACATATATTTATTGTAAAAAATTTTGGCGAATACAATGAAGAAAACAAGTATCACGTTGTATCTACTCCCTTTAAAGGCATTTATTATGTGGAATTTGAAAATAAATATTTCCTTGGACTCAGTATAAAAATTTTTGCAGACAGAACTCATACAGAGCAAGTTGAAAATTTCAAATTGGTTATAGATAGTAGAAAAGTATTTGGGCAAAATAATTCTAAAAATCACTTCTTTGTTTTTGAGACAGTGATAAAAACAATTCAAATTTATTTGCCTGTTATTTCAAATGTCACACAGACCTTATTTTCACATCCTTTCCTTGGTATATATTGAAATTTTGAAAAAGAAATCCTATAAAAGGGAACATTTTCTAATGTTATGTTTTAAAATTTACTAAAGATGGAGATGTTTGCAATTCTACCCAGAGAAGTCATCTCAGTGAAGCCATGGTAAGAGAATTTGTTATTCATAGTTTTCCCCTGAAGCTAGCTATATCCATATTAGTTATGCTTAGATTCTCCTTTACTCTGACATGAAGAGTTGTCTCTGAAAACCTTTCAAGGTGGGAAAATATCATAAGTAAGAAGCAAAAATAGAAGACAAAAGGAGGGAGAGTCCATTAAGCTATAAGGATATGTGAAATCATCTAAATTTCACCGTCCCCTCTTTGGATTATATGGCAAGCATTTGAATAGTATAACCCTCTCTGGGCTCATTTTAGGACAGTTTGTCAGAAGTTATAGTCTGAAAAGACTGTGAGTCTTCCCCCCACCCCGCCAGCTGGATGTGCCTTTTCTTCCCACTTCTCTCCTGTCCTTGTTGATCCTTTCTCATCTGCCCTTCTTTCACCCCTTTGCCCTCTCATCCCATGCTTGGGTCCATCCAGCAGGGCTTTAGACAGACAGAGAAAATAGCGCTTTCAAGCACTGACCCAGAGACTCTGTGCTCTGAAAGGGCAGGGAAAGTGAAGTTCATTTCTGAGGAAAGCAGGTGACCTAATTTGCCCTGTTCCATGGTGTTTGCTATATTCTTTCTCCATAGGAACTTGGAGCTCAAAGTACCAGCCTTGAAATGAAAAGATAGATAATGTGCTCCCTAGTGAAAAAAGAGGTGATTTTTTTCCTTTTCAGACACATATACCTATTTTATTAATGGTCTGTCATATCTAATATCTCACCCCTGAAATTGCCTTCATATGGGTGCTTCAGAATAGATTTTCAGCCACTGTGCAGTTTTCAAAGTTCTTTGAGGAACACAGTAGGCACAGTGCTGAAAATATACAAAGGTTGTTACTCACAGAGGTCAAACATTCAAGGATATAGATTTAGATAAACGTATGGAGGATAGCCCAGTGATAGGTTATTAGAGAAGTATCTTGGATGTGTAAATGTTGTCTGAGGATCAGAGTATTGGACAGGATGGGCTCCACGTCTAATCATCCAAATGTCAGTGCTCAGGAAGCCAGCCATTTATTACAACTTCAAAGTGCAAACTGAAATTTCCTAATTCTGACTGAGCCCATGGTGCACTCTTTTTGTAACAAAATAAAACAAAACAGAAAACAAGGCCATGTGCCTTCCCTGTACCTCAGTATTCCTTGCCTTAAAGTAGAAAAGCAGTTTCAATTCATGTCACAGTAGAGCTATAAGGAAAGATAAAATGAATATTATACAAAAAGCGGGACAGCATTTTATAGCAGAGGGAGACTCTAGGAAGCATCTGAATATATAGGCCTCTCATTTTACAGGTCAGAAAACAAAGCCTATACCCAAAGTCCCATCTGCTAAACCTGGATTTGAGACTCTTGAGTCCCAATCCTAGGTATAATTTCTAAAATAATATTCCTGATCATTTTGAAGCACTTCTATACTACTTTATGTGTACCAAGCATGCTGTAAGCATGTAATCCTCATAGTACCAATTTAAAGTAGAATTTTTCTCATGAGAGGGGTTAAGTAAATCCTACAACATTACACAGCTGGTAAGTGACAGAAGCAGTATTTGAACCCAGGAAGTCTGGTTTCAGAATCTATGCTTTTAGTCACTACACTACCCTGACTCTTTTGCTGTTAGAGAAAAGGCCCTATAGAATCAAGCCTGGATACAGTTCAATTTCAATTTTCTTCTTTAGGATGAAAAGGAACCAGAATGGAAATTAATCCATATATGTTAAAAGAGGAGTAGACAGGTTGTGGTGAGACTAAACTTCATTGATTGTTCTTCTTTGGGCTTGAGCAGGACCTTGGGGTTTTGAGTTCCTGCTCTGTATTCTATGCAGTAGATCTACCTGCTAACTTTGTGGCGGGCCATGACACCAGAACAGTGATACCATGAAGACCATTAAGTAACTCGATTGAGACGAATTTAGTTTCTTCATTATTTGGTCTGAGCTATGAAACCACATGAGGCAGGACCTTGTGGTGGACCTAACAGTCAGTGCAGACTTTAGATGGATAGTTACTTTTGCATCAGAGGAAAAGCTGTATGTAGCTAAAGCTTTGCATCTTTCACTGGAGCTCTGAACAGGTTTAAAAAATGCCCAGGACTGAAATAAAATAAATCATCATTATCCAGGCACAGTAGCAGGTGCCTATGGTCCCAGTTACTTGGGAGGCTGAGTCCAGGAGTTTGACACCAGCCTATGTATCATAGTAGACCCATGTTTAAAAAATCACCATTATCTCCAGCTCTGATTGCTTTCTGCATTTGGGTAACAAACATCTTCCAGCAGGAAATGTAAATTGTTATGAAGTCAAAGCATTGTTCTTGTAACATGTATTGATTATCATATTTTACTTGTTTCTTTACTGATTTTTCCCTGCATGTGGAAAATACAGATTTCTTTAAAACTGTACAGTTTGTAAATTATAATTTTAAAAGGTATTGAGTCATTATGTATTACTGCAGGCGTGAGTAGTAAGTTTTCTTCAAAGCATGGAAAGTAGCCTCTTTTATTTCTGATCAATGGAGAAATGGTGATCCTATGTTGTGCCAAATCTCACAAAATAGTTGGACCTGAAGAGTAACATGAAAAAATTTTATATAAAAAGCTATATTAAAAAGGGAGCTTTATATAGGAACAGGCATGGATTTAATATTTCTGTACAGTATAATAAAATATTTCATTAGTCTTTCAGGAATGGAAGGCAGATGGATATTTAACTGACACTCTGCATAGAAACCAGAGTCTGAACATTTTATTAATTTTATCAGTTGCATGGCATCAACTTGAATGGAAGCCAAAGACTGAAGCTGTATTCATTGTATCCATTCCCTTATGAGGGAAAAAGGATTAACTGTAACTGCTCTTTATCTGAATTTCTGATATCTGAAATGGAAACTATTCTAATCCATGTAGTCTTTAAACATTCTCTCTCTGCTCTTCTTGTTTATTTTAGTTGGTGATATGGTTTTACCTACCAAATCAAATTAATTATTTAAGGGAAGAGAATTGAAATCCTTCAGTTTTGTTTTGAAGTATGATTTTTGGAAGTCCAGAAATTCTGCTGTGCTATTACTTGGTTATATAGACACACATGGTATCTCAGAATATGTTGAAGTAAGGAATTTGATTTTCCTCCAGTGTACCTAATTAAATTATCTGGCTCAAATAGGAAAAGGGGAACAGGTACTAGAGAAAAGGTTAGATCAAAAAGAATTAACCTAGAAGGTAACACCCACACACAGGAAATCAATGTGAGTCAATGCCCTGTATAGCTATCCTTATCTCAACCAGCAAAACCCCTTGTTCCTTCCTATTATTGCTTATACTCTCTCTACAACAAAATTAGAAATAACGGCAAAATAGTTTCTGCTGGGTATTGAGGGGGGGAGAGGGTGGGGGCGGAGTGGGTGGTAAGGGAGGGGGTGGGGGCAGGGGGGAGAAATGAACCAAGCCTTGTATGCACATATGAATAATAAAAGAAAAATGAAAAAAAAAGAAAACTTTCTTTTATGGAATTCAGCTTGTTTCTAGTTTGCAAGCAGAGGCTGTGTAGACAGTATCTGCCTATAGTAGTTTGTATTAAAAGCATTCATTACATTTTATTGTCTAACTAAAAAAAATTATCTGGCTCACTTTCTTAATGGGCTAGAATTTTAATGAAGGTCACAGAGGTAGAACTGGGGTTTCCAAAAGTGAGACACTTTCCCAAGAGCTGGTCACTGGCACCTCAGCTGGAACCAACGGACTAGAAATAGAGCTCCCTTCAGAAGCAACAGTGAGCACTACCAAGTCCTTGGCACTATGGAAATATGCAAATGAAATGAAAAATTCACAGATTATTTTTAGCAAAGTGTTAGTTCCAGTGGCCTGGAAAGTTTTCTCTCAGGTACTGATATTCTGCAACCCTTGAGAATTCCATAACATATAATCAGACACTTCTCTCTTTCCAGTTCTGCAGGGCATGATAAAATGCCCTTCAGACAAACCAAGAAAAAGCCTCTTTATACAGATGAGTACCCATCCACATCTTTCCACTTATAAAACAATTATTATTAAACACTAACTTGTATCAGAATCACATGAAAGGTATGTTGAGCCAGATTGCTGGGTCCTTCCACAGTTTTTACATCAGGACATCTGGGGCAGAGTCTGAGATTTTGCTTTTGTTGCTGCTGCAGCTGGACTGAAGACTATGGTTTCAGAAGCAATGTCTCCAACAAGGCAAGGGGTAGTAAACTGGATACAATATTTTCACACGTAGTCAATCTTCTATGTTATTTGCCATGTTAGAAAATTTTTCCATTATAGAAATGGTCTTAGTTTAGCTTTAAAGTAACTGTTGTTTGTACAAAAGAGATAAAACTGTTTCTGATCCTTTGGTTTGTCACCATGGGCATTTAGCCAACATCACTTAACACAAACCAGTGACTTGAATGCATACCACTTTTTCTTGAGTAAATTTAAATTTTTATTTTTTATTTTTGCAGTGCTATGGATTGAAGTAAAAGCCAGGTACATGCTAAGCAAGCACTCTACCACTGAGTTATGTCTCCGGCTACAATTTTTAATTGACAAATCATAATTGTATATATTTAGGGGGGTACCATGTAATGGTTGGATTCGTGTGTACAATATAGAATGGTTAAATAAAGTAAATTAACATGTCTGTCACCTCACTTATCATTTTTTGTGGTGTGACATTTAAAATATCATCTGAGCATTTTGAAGTATATGGTACATTATTGTTATTGTTGTCACTGTGCTACCCCACAGATTTCAAAACTTCATTCCTCATCTTTAACTGAAACTTTATACCCTTTGACCAATATCTCTCCATTCCTTCCCCAATTCCAGTCTTTGGCTAACCACCATTTGATTCTTCATTTCTAAGCATTCAACATTTTTTAGATTCTACATATAAGTGCAGGTGCATACTGTTTTCAGAGCTGTTTCATATGGTTGGGCAGGTTGCAGAAAGGAACCTAGATTGGCTTCTGGTGGGGAAATGTGGCCTGTATGTAACTCAGCAAGCCTTGCATGGAGCTTCCTACCAAGAAGAATCAACACAGTTTTCTAATCCACATATATACTACACATTTTCCATTGAGTTAGGGGAAATTCTTGCACTAAACACAAAACCTTGTTTTTAGAATGACTACAGGAAGCTCTCCATGCAATGCAAAGGCTTTGTTGTGGGTGTACTCGATCTGTGCCAGGACTCAGAGGAGGTGGAAGCCATTCTGAATGGAGATCTAGAATCCATGGAGCCTCTGGAGGTGCACAGGCATAAAGCTTCATTGAGTCACATCAAACTTGCTATTAAGTATGAAGTCAAAAAGGTGAGTCCACTTTCATCCATAGACACATAGCATTGATGACATAATCCATGACATTTAAAAAAGTAATTAGAGTAGATGCTATTGATTAAAGAAATTTTTTCTTCATGACAGAGATTAAATGAAGAATCATGACAAAGTTACAAGTTAAATGTGTGAGTTCTAATCCTTTCCACTTATTACCCATGTGGGACTTTGGACAAGACATGAATCTTCTCTAAATTTCAGTTTCCTCATATAAAAGGGGGGATGATATCTCTTACCTATCTTAAGGTTTGGGGTGGAATTTAAATGAATCACGATATATAAAAAGCACTGTGGAAACTTATTATGTGGAAACTTATTTTCAGCATATTAATATCTGATACTTGTATACAATTTTAAGGCACTATTACCCAGTTTCTCATGTTGACTTTTGCAGGAAACCTGTTATTATTTATTTTATTTTAAAACAGGTAAGGTAGATGATGAGATTTCTATTGTACAAGAAAACCGAAGTTTACCAAGCTTAAATGACATGTCTGAATTCACATAGCTATAGAACTGGTCATGCAAGAATCAGAAATAAAATTTTCAATTATCTTTCATTCTGATTACTGAAGAAAAACTGTTATGTGTAGTCATTTGCTAACTTATATGGAACTGTTGAATAATTCACTAAAATTGTAGTCAAAATGTTTCATTACAATAAAATTTCAGTTATTGGAATCTAATAGTTTATGTTATGTCATATAACTGAGAGGTTGTTTCTGGGGTTTTTTGTACATTAAGAGAAGCTGGTAAATCACAAAGAAGGAAGCTCTCATCAAGAAAATATCTGGTTTTATGATCTGGTCAATGACCAGCCAAGTCTCTCTCCTTCACTGTGCCATGGTGCTTAAGAGGCAGGTGCTGCCAGGCACTGGTGGCTCACCCCTGTAATCCTAGCTACTCAGGAGGCAGAGATCAGGAGGATTGCAGTTCAAAGTCAGCCCAGGCAACTACTTCACAAGACCCTATCTCAAAAAACCCTTCACAAAAATAGGACTGATAGGGTGGTTCAATGTGAAGGTCCTGAGTTCAATCCCCAGTACTACAAAAAAAAAGGTACTTACAACTAACCTGAAAGTCCTGATGTTATCATGGGTTCCCTGAGTGACCATCCAAAAGTTACCTGTTCATCTAAGCCTTGGTCTATCTGTTTGTCAGTAAAATAGGGACAATAACAGTACCTACTAATTTAGTTGTTTGAAAATTACATGAGACAATGCATGTGAAGTAAGCAGCATAGGGTAGTATGTGGTAATTGATCACTAAATATTAGCTAGTAACATTTCTACATTATGAAAACTCATAGTTTTAGCAAGTTCAGGCATCAAAGACAGATTTCATATTCCTTGTACTAGTTCCATGCCTTAGTATTTGACCATAGTTAATTTAAGCAGGAAGGAATTTAGCAAGTGATGTTAGAAAGCTTAAAGAGAAGTGGCAGAACAAGCTTATACAAACTGTGCTTCCAGAAATCTCACTCAGAATCAGGCCTAAAACTGACCTTGTAAGAGAGTTTCTGGGTCCCCAGCAGAACAATTCTGCCTCTGCTGAATTGACCAGCTTCAGCACCAATAGGAAGAATGCTCTGTATCCTCCCCCTGCTATCACAAGACCTTCCAAATCACACTGCCACATGCCTGGAAACCAAAGCCAGTGTTTGCATCCTATCACCAAGTAGGAATGGAGACAACCTGCTCCATTTCTTTGAATTCTCTCTCTCTCTCTCTCTCTCTCTCTCTCTCTCTCTCTCTCTCACACACACACACTCACATGCATCTACCACAACACAGAAAACTTCCACATATAGTACTTAAAACATTTTGGTTAAGCCTTAATATCAGATCTCACTGTTTAGTAAGACAATCAAATGTGAATGTTTTGGATTAAGATTGAAATAAGATAACTTTTGTGGAAATAAATCAGCTACAAGATAATTAAGTTGACTAGACTGCCCTCCTCTCAGAGCATTCTTGCTGGTTGAAGTTTTGCTAGGTTGGGGGAAACAATTATCTTAAACAAGATTGACAGTAAGCCATGTTTAGAAAATTGTCTGGCCATCTACTCACGTCTTTGGCACCTGAGAGGAGAGAATTGATTTCAGTGGTCACTGAATTTTTTTCATTGCTTTGAAAGTGTCATGTTACAGAGACAGCTCATCTACAGATGTGCTTCTGTTAACCAAACCATCTTACAAAGTGAATGCCTTACTGCATGTTCATGTTAAACAAATTGGTGTGTAGGTTACAATGCATGAGGTGTCATTTATAAATTTGCTATCAGTCAACCATCAGGAAACCAAATAAAAAGCATTTAGAACTGAAAGGAGATATATGACTTTGCAAGCATTTTTGGTTTTGTTTGTCTTATGCCATAAAAGGAATATATTAAAGTCCTTGGTTTGGAATCTTCATTCAATAAATGTATATAAGAACTCTATTCTAGAATTTCCATTGAAGCCCCTGTTCCTCCTTTCTTTCTTCTTAAGGATTCCTTCATTTTCAGTCAGCACTCACCCACCTTCACTCTAGAAAGGAGGAAAAATATCCCTACCCATTCTTGCTGATTTCTTTTTGTACCATCTGATTTCTAGTCCCCAGACAAAACCACCTCCTAATAATAATAATAATGGCTCTACCCCCTGTGGCACAGAAGTAGTATATAGATATATGCAATCCATTGCGATTCCAAAATTACTTTCTATTTTGTGCACTTTTTTACCCTGTGATAACATAATAAAGTTATGCTTATTCAAATCAAACCATAATTCCACCAAGAAACCAAATTTGTGTAATGGTGAACTGCTTAGACCCCAAATAAGGCTCAGGTAGTCTTTCTTCTACTACCTGCCCATGATCCAATACCAGCCTTGGTTCCAAGTATATTGGTTGCTATCTGGGCTGAATTCGCTCTAGAAGTTCCATCCAGATCTTACAGAGCTTAGTGGCAGTTAACTGACAAAATGAAAATATGAAAGACCAGAAGAGGAGCTACACAACCATAAATTTAATGCTTATATGGGCTTTCTGATATAAAAGTCATAGAAGAAAACAAAAATATAAATAATTTGACTACATACAACTTACATATGAGATGTATAAACTGGGGTAGCAGCACATGCTTATAATCCCAGACACTCTGGAGTCACAGACAGGAGGACCCAGGGTTCAAGGCCATCCAGGGCAAAGTTAATGACATCCTATCTGAGAAACAAAATAAAAATAAAAGGGCTTGAAAAGGAGTTCAAGTGGCAGAGTACTTTTCTAGTAAGTATGAGGTCCTAGGTTCAATCTCAAGTACTGGGAAAAAAAAGATCATGAACAAAGAAATGAAGGACAAGCTGGGGAACTGGTTTTCCAAATTATAACTTATAAAGGATTGATATTGTCACTATTGAAAGAATTCAAATTTATAAGAAAACATACAGAGTGCTATAGAAAAACAAGCAAAGGGCTTGAATATGTGGTTCACAAAAGAGAAAAATCAAGTGGCCAATTACCATATTTAAAATTTTCAAACCCTCTAGTAATAGTGTATTAGTCAGTGTGGTGTGCACAGCTGAAATTCCAGCACTCAAGAAGCAGAGGCAGGAAGATCACAAGGCCAGCCTGAATTACATAATGAGACACTGTCTCACCCCTCCCCAAAAAATAAATACATATACTTATATTCAAATGTTGTTTTCCATTTCTCAAATTATCAAACAATAAAAAGTTATAATTTTCAATGCTACTGATGAAACAGGCAATCATACTCTTGCCTCTTTTCTATCAGGGAGTAAATTTGTCCCTCAAAATCTTGACTTTTAATTTTGACTGCATCTCTGTATGGCTCTATGATATGAATCTGAACTTCAATCCCTATTCCTTATAGAACAATAAGAGTAATACCTCCTTCATTGTGATCCATGTCTGTTGTAAGAAACTTCTTGACAAAAGGTACAAAACTTGATAGGCTACTACATCTGCAAAACTGGGCTCTTGAGAAAAAGAAGAACATTTCCTGAATTCTTCCTCCCTGTGCTCCTATTTCATCCATAATGGGACTGCAGAAAAATCATCTAATGAAGAGACAAAAGAAACACACAAAAGTATCCAAGGTGTATCCACTCTGTGCAGAAAGCATGCAGGGGAAGCCCAGCATTTGAGCAAAGCAATGGGAAGGATGAATTACTGCAGAGACTTTGGGGTGTGTGTGCTGGGCACCAGAGTTCCAGTTCCTGCCCTGCAATTCTCATGTCCTGGTTTATGCTCAGACACCAAGAGATAGCACAGCATTTTTTAACTCAGTGAGTTAAAAAAAAAATCCACAAAACCTGTAAAATGTAAATTTTTCAGTTTATAGTTCACAATCCAATGAACTTTAAAAGGAAGTCAAATTGTCTAGTTACTCACAAGAACATTTTCCTTTTAAATTATATAAGTTACAGCTCTATCAATGTCATTAAAAACAAGAACAATGTCCCTATTGTGATTTACACAACAGTATTCCCATGAAGACATTTCTTATGAAAGCTGATTTGATGAAAATATACTGTAATATGATTTTTAAAAGTTTAAAGTTATTTGTTTTCTAACCACCTGCCATGATTGGTGGTTCAGTTTAAAATCTATTAGTCATTGGGCAGGAAAACAATGTCTGTTCTGTAATGCCGTGAGAGTTTTGTTCCACTAAAAGATAGAAATTTTCTTGTGTCAAGCAGTCTCCCTTCAAATCAGAAAACCTCAAATAAGGGTTATATTTTTGTAATGACTTCAATTTGCTGGTCCACTGAAGTTAGGACACAGCATACAAATTTGATCCATTCAGCTATGAGTGACATGGCAGCATAAGGAGTTTTTTAGGAAGCAAAATATTTTTAAGAGATAAAGTTTACTGTCCTATTTTGAAGTAGTTGAAAAGAGCAAGACTCATCTCCAAGAGGGATTAGGGTTTTTTTAAAACCCTCACTTGCTGATATTATATTGGTCTTATTT